AAGGGTGGAATCACTTTCATTATCCACTTCACTGCCTTTGGGATGAGTTAAAGGCTCATAAAAAACGCACCTCACCAATTCCCTCCTATATACTAAGCAGCTGAAGATTTCAAAAGTTAGCCAGCCTCCTTCATTCTTCTGAACCTTCAGAACACTGAAGGATTCTCTCAAGTTCTGCACTTCAGGTGGTCATTTACACTAGAAAGAGGACAAAGTAAGTGCAAAGTATTACCTCCTCAGAATAGTCGTATTTTACAATTACCTTGCACTGGTTTGCACAAAACCACTTACCTTGCACAAAACAGTAAAGTCTTTAGGTTAAAACGAGAAAGAACAGCTCCCATGTACTAACATGCCTGGCAGCATTACCTGCCTCTCTGGACCCAACCGTTCAGAATTCCACTTCTTTCCCTGCACTGGACAGAAGATTTCAGTGCCCCAGCAACTCAGTTTCAAGCTCCAGTCATTTTGCATCTATTTCTCCTCTGGCTACAGAAGCAATAGATGATCATACATAGTTTTGGTTTTCCATTGTATTTATGTGATAAATTCATTCCCATGTTGACAGCTTCTGTTAATTTATGCCAAATCAGGTGGGCTTACAGGATGAATAACTCTTCCTCTAAGATGGAAACAAGATGGGTAACTCAATTAGTGCTAAACAAGAGGCAGGAAAAAGAGGAACTGCATTACGCATATGCTGTGGTACATTTTGAAACAAAAATCCACCCAACTCAGGACAAAACCCACTATTGTAGTTGAGTGCTGTAGCCACTTAAGCCTTTATACAATAGTCTTGGAAAAAATAACTGTTACTAATAAATAGCACATTAAGACTTTCATCTAGCCCTGGGAACGACTGGTCATTCTAGTCAGCAGGGGCTCACCAAAATTGATCTGGCTAAACCTGATTAAGCCTATGTAATTGTACATCCCCTCATGCAAGTTTACATAAAAATCCATCATCTACTTTCATTTTTCAACTTCACCATCAGCCTCCCATTTTGAAGGTCAGAGACAGGCTCCCAATCTGGAGTACACATTAATTCCCATTTAGACTAAAACTATTTCATTTGTAGTATCAAAACAAACCCCTATGTATACACCTGAGTGTTACAGGAAGAAAAGCTGCATTGTGAAGTATTACAACTAAAAAACTACTACCGTCATATGGATTTATTTCAGAAGTGTTGCTTAAGTGAGGCATTTGGACCAAGGAATAAAAATTAGTGTGAATTTGAATGAGTCAGTCAACTCAGACAACTTAAAACGTGTCTTTTAATGAGCGTTACTCCCAGCAACCCCCACGCACTCTTCCCTACTGCCACATTCTTCCTGGAAACTTATTAAGAAAATGATGTCTGACAAAACAGTAAACACACAAAAAGAGCTTCCTCAGCTTACCTGAAATACTGGTTGGTCCACTGTTCATTATCAGGCTGAACATTTAAAGACAAGATAGTTTTTCATCTCAACTCAGTGATGAAAACCTGGCAATTCTGTCAAGTGCACTATTTGGATTAACCAATGCCTTCTGCTAAAGGGACATCAGTTCTCTTTAGCTTTTTTATACCAGCATATACCGTACTTTTTCTCATTTTAGAAATAACAAGTCTAGGAAACAGTACCAAGCGTCACGGCTTCTTCTTGATGGGTAACAGAAAGTGACATTCTGCAGTAAAAGGGATCCTTGGATAACTGCAAATGACAAACTTCAGAAGTTAAGGTTAAAACGTTGAATATAAAAATATTATCTCGCTTACCGAAAATCTCTCCATTTTTGGCAAATTCTGTCACAAGGTACAACATGCTTTTGGTCTCCATCACCTGTTGATGGAGAAAGTGCACATTAGTTTATTTGGGGGAAGAACAAAAAAACAAATGAACCCACATGAACACATATTTTCAGGTATCTCCTCTGGTGATATCTCCTCCGATAAGGAAGAAGTGAAAGTCTTGGGCTTGCACATACAGTTATCACAATTTTTTCCAGTTTGTTTCTTTAAACCATCTCAACAATGGCAAGGGCGCTAAGCGCATGGCTAAGCTTTAAACACCTCAATAAGCCACCGTACAGAGGAAGAGGTGGCTGGAATTCTTGGCTGTAAGTGACTAGCATAAGGCAGCGGCATCCTCCCTGGCTAGTTTCAAAACTTTTCCTGAAGCAATCCACCTAAGCAATTCCCTTGTTCAACTCCTGTAACATGCTGATGGCTGGTTAGCATCTGTGCTTGAGAAAGTAGTCTGGGGCTGTTACTGACCTCTGTTACCAACAGTTCTCTAGTCACTCAAAGGAAAAACAAAGGAGTATCCGTCGGTCAAATTTCAGACACAGCATCACATCACAGGATCACATCGCAGAGTCAGGCAGAGTACGTGATTGCTTTGTAGCTCTACTGTATTTCCTAGGGATTAAAACCACCCTATAAGCATCTTCTGCCTTTTCCCGCTGGTGTTTCCAGCCATCCTGTTACAAAAATAGACTGCTCACAACTCCAAAACATGTGAGGCTGGAAGGAACAGAGCGAGACAAACCAAAAAGGAAAAGAAGGGAAGGCTTCAGAGGTTTTCCATAGACAGATGCTCATGGCCTTGAACAAGAACACTACCCCCAACAATTCAAGATTCCATCTTTCCATAAAACACACTGGGAAAGGGCAGTCCTCCTCAGCTATCCTGCTGCTTTTTTTCCTAAGGTTCTACTCCTAAGTTGCTCAAACAGCTAGCCAGGATCTCATACAAATAGCACGACTGAAAGATATACGGGCAATACTCTACTTCAGATAAAGTCACTTAGGATTTCTCTTCAGTATAATACAACTTCAGCTCGGGTCACATACTGGGCATATGCTATTTTTACAACCACAGAAGAAGAGTTCAGCCCAAGCTGCCTGTAGACAAGACTATCTTGAATTTTATTTCTGCATTTTGTTTGAGTTTGAAAGTACAGGAAGATTGGCTCATAGACGAACCGTTTTCAGGAAAACTTAAAAAAAAAATCAGACGAATCATGGAAGTTATAAAAACAGCAGAACTACCAAAATCAGACAAGCCAGCAGACAGAAGATGAGGGCACTACAAATACACACGACCATTTGTTGCTGGGTTCATTACCTAAATTTGTCAGCCCTCAACAGTTCCCCAATACAAGACAATTCAGAAACTCATAGTAGGGACACAATACAGTGATGGGCCTATTTTACAGGCAAACTAGAGAAGCAGTTTTATTGAGTGCTATTTTGAAAGTCAACTCACCTGTCTACCAAACGTACTTCTAATGTGCCAATCACTTAACAATGAAAAGGTAAGCACTACATAACAATTATCCTCCTCCTCAAGTAACCTTGATGATCTCCAACCTTAAATTAACTACTCTCAATCTCCTCTCTCATTTTTGTGTTTTGTCATCCATTCAGGAGAAACTGTAGTAGGTATTACTCAAGCTAGTTAAGAGTTTAATTCTGTAAAGCCTGCAGCTACTCAATGAATCAACAGTCCATTTTAAAAAGAAAGTGCCAGTCTCTTTTCCATAACATAAAATTAAGGCTAAGACTAAACCAGGCCAGTTGTCTTTAATCAACGGCGCAATTCTAACACCAAAGATCTAAGCCCTCGTGCAAGCGATCGTACTACTGCCTTTAGAGATCAGCAAGAGTTGATCCAAGTTTAAAGTCAAAGTTTGGTTTTCAGCATGCACAAATCTGTTGAGCTAGGTTTACTTGAAATAAGCAAAAGAACATCGCAGAAGCACTATTTCGTTTGTTAAACGGACCACTGACAAGCAGATCCCAAAGAGTATACTCTGAAGAAAGCCTTCGAAGTAAGTTTTATGTGAAGCAGAAATGCCAGCAGCCTCAAATATTTTACTGCTATGCTAGTGGGAACAGAAAATGAAACAGAGCAGGAAAAAAACAAAGCAAAATTATGTTTTTACTATACAAACTGTGTGCACTACAAAAGTGGTGCCACAAGTAGAAATCTTCAAACTTTCTAAAAAGTCTGTAATTGCACGTTACTACAAGTATATGTTTATCTTTTATTTTTAATAAACATACTCTCATGCCATAATTACTCTCCATTATATTGGAAATGAACGCATCCAATTCCACAACATACATAATTCAGTTTAGGAGAATCATCAACGTGTCCACGTCCACCACACCAGCGAGGCAAGATTCCAACGGAAATAAATCTACCACAGAACTCGTTATCCATCTTCTAATAAATGTACCTTAAGATAAAGTTTTGAGGTCTCTCTCACTTGGTGCCTTCTTATCCAAAGATATCAAATAGAGGCTGCAAATATTGCTCAACTTCCTCTCTCAGATTTGACTAAAGAAAATCACTACAGAGACACAAATCCTCAGCTTCCTTCCAGGTAACCACTCAGAAGACTAAACTTAGAGGCATGTGTGCTAGACCACCTCTGCATCGCCAAGGGCATTTAAAAGACCACTTCGGATGTAGCCATTTCACCTGTCTTTATACCCTTAAGCAACCAGAAATACTGACTGTATTTACACTGACACACTTGACTAGAGGACATCAATTGTCCATAAACATATCCTAACTAAACTAGTCAGACAAACAAACAGCATGGAGAACTAGCAGATCAACTCAAGTTAGTCAAGAGACAGACCTATAAGGCAAAGAATATACATGTACAATATCAGGCTTAAACTGTCAGACACCAGCCAAGGACAAAGAAATTACACTGGGCTTTTACAGTTTGCTTGCTGGGAGCTTCAGCAGGCAGCTGTACATTGCTAGAAGAAAGGTAAGGAAGAAATCACATTCCCAGGTAAGGGATAACCTTTTACTAGCCAAGGCTCATCGTATATGCACTTAACTTATCCTAATCAATACACGTGAAAGGCGCACCCCTTTCACCAGATTTGAAGAAGGAAAAACCATCCAGTAATCAGAGACTTCCAAATAAAATAGCACCCCTTCCTTTCAGGCACAAACCCCGAGGTGAAAATGCAATTCTTCCCACCAATAGAGTGGACTATTTTTGTGCTTTGCCAGTAATCCTACCTCGAGGGAACCAACTTCAAGATCATAACATACATTTCTAAAACTGATTCTGAAGCCTAGGATCTATTCTGTTTTCCTCTCTTGATCTAAAATTCTTCCCACTCTGACCTCCCCATCTTTTTCCTACCCCATTTTCATTTTGGATTCATCTGGCAGCCAAGGTTCAGTTTATTGCTCAGAGATGAAAATATTCCATCTCCCCAAAGCAGTCAAGTTTGTGTTACAAATCACTAATTTTATCATGAACATTTGATCCAGAAAACAAGAGAAAATTCCTATGCAATTGATGGGATCCTTCAACAGCCCCAGTTTTCAAGAAGTATGACCTACAATATAATGCTGCCATTTCAAACACACAGTAGCATCTCTAGCCCTGATTTCAAGGGGGGCTTTCGCTAAAGAACAAACGTAGACTGTTGAAACAGAATTCTTTGCACCTTTCTGTGCCAAGGCCCATTACATGGTAAAGACGCATCAAGATTAGCGAGAGAATTTCAGATCCAACTGAACTCATGCAATTTTCTGAGGTTCAGCAAAGCCTGCACATCAGCTAAAAGTCAATAGAAATAAAAATACTATTCAGAAATCTTCCGTTACACAACTTTGATAGACTGCTGTGAAGCTTCTGGCCTATTATGACAATAACTCCGGTGCGCATAAGCATTAGGGAGGCAGGGCAACACCGACTTGGTGTTTTCTGTTTCAGACGGAAAAAAACAGTATTTTCCAATACTTCAGACAACTAAGAATCGGGACTTTACACGTGGAATGAGATGATTCTGCAGTCTGGATTACAAATCCTTTTCTGTAACTGGCTGCCTTCAGCACAAAGCTGTCAGCCTCTGGTAGGTCAATTAAAGAAGAGACAAAAGCTTTCCGGTGGTCTCCTACTCTCAGTAGGCAAGAATTTACAAGACTCACACCACAGCTATTAGTATTCCTTTTCATAGTTTGATGATGGGGACGGCAGGGCAGGAATCACAGAACTAACACAACTCTTGATACTTGCCTATACAAGTTCTCCCTGCAGATAGGGCTGAATATTCCTGCACTGCTCCAGCTTACTCGATGGTTTGTCGAGTAACAGACAGGAAAGATTCATCACCAGGTATTTCAAAAATCAGCTCTTTCACTAGCATCACATTTACAGTTTTCTGTGTATTTTTAAGTAGATAGCAGGTATATTTGAGTACCTAACAGTGCCAGTCCAACTGGTACCAGAGAACAAGCAACAGCACTGTACACGCGCATGCAAAAATATTAGTCACGTAGCCAACACAAGTCAATCCCAGAAAAGCTGGGAGTTTGTCATGGACTGGCCATCTGTAAGAAGTTACTAGTGTAAAGTAAACCCTTCATACTGGAGTGAAGACGGAGAGGAGGGAAGAAAACACTGCTAAACATACCTGGTAGAGCTTTATAATGTGTGGGTGATCAAGCATTTTCATTATCTGCACTTCTCGATAGATCTTCTCCAGATTCACAGCATCCAGCTGAGATTTGTCAATGATTTTTATTGCCACCTGCAGCCAAGAGTAAAATTCAGATTAAAACTCTCCAACATTTCTCCTTATTAATTCATCCTCCTTAGAAAGAGAGCACCTACCATAACCCTAGATAGCTTAAAGGTCTTTTTTTTCTAGCTCAGAAATACACCTCCCAACGCTGCAGGATTTAAAAATACAACAGCACAACATTGAACGTACCCGTAGTCCCACTAGGCGCCTGCTGGACTATAACCTACATTTGCATGTCAGTAACCAAAACTTCACTGGAAACGGAAGACAGAGCAGGTGGCAGGAGGTTAGCGCTCCAGCGAGCCCAGCTACAGAATGTTCCTTTATCAGCAGCTGGTGGGAATAACTAAGGACCTTGCACGTAGCAGTGCTTTAAAAACAAAAAGATTTCTATAAAGCCTAATTATTTCCACTTCTGGAGTCAAGGCAGTCAGTTTTAATTCTACAAATGCAAACAACGTTTTAACCAGGAACTGTTGGCTCAACACGAGCCATTAAAACACAGTAGACTCGTGTAGTTTTCACTGTTAAACAAATTACAGAGAACTATGCATGCTTGTGAGAGTCCAAAAATTTCATTTCAAATTAAAGAGTTAGTTAAAAATTTCAGAGAGGAAGCAGTTACAGCTGCTATAAAGAAACATACACAAGAGATAACAGCACTGAAAAATATTAAATACCCTAATGGTGTACATTCACCCCGAATACCACATTACAAATGTGGAAGCAGGAGCAAACAATATAAATCACACAAACTTCCAATTATAGCTGCATTTCACATAAACTATTGAACTACAGGAGACAGCTGTTATGCAGGAGACAAAAATCCACAGGAGGTGAACCTCATTATCTCCAGAAAGGCTGATTACGGACCTACCTGAATTCAGAATTAACTATTTACTGACTCCATTGCCATATGCTTTTCCTTTGTAATCTATTCACAGAGGCATACTTGCCTTCCCTAACCACAAGAGAAATAAGAAAGAAATAGGTAAGACCCTGCTATGAGTGAATAAAGTCATCTAGCCTTGTAATCAATGGAAGGTTTTTGTTTTTTTTTTTTAAATGCAGGATGCACTACAACACAGCTGAAGTAGAACGAGATTCTGGTTTTCAAAGTACAAACGAACAAAAAATCCAAAAGCAACGCAAAAGATCTCACAACACCTCATCAATGCAGAGCTCACTGCCACTCACTAAAATTAAATTTAGTCAAAAACATAACAGTATATATAGGAACAGACAAACAAAACAAGAAATAAAGGTTCACATCCCACAACACATTCACCATTAACCGTGAAATTATTCCATAGCCTCTATTCTTCAAAAGTATAGCAGTGGATGCCGTTGGGAAAAGCGGTACTAAAAATGTTATTCAAGCATTCAGTGCTCCCCTCCCCTTCTCCTACTATCTGCAACTGTTTCTTCCATGCCAGTCTGACATACAGCAGCTTGGATAATCCTGATGCCTGATCTCAAAATATGCTTTTCTGTTCTTTTCTGCTAACTGTATATATGTACGGCCCTGTCCATAATGAACCCGCTCTGCCGTCTTTCACATCACACTACATTCTGCATTGAGAAGGATACAGTAAACAGGGATCAGTAACAGAGTGAACAATCAGGTCCTAGGAGATCACTGATCTCTCCCTTTGAAAGTTTGTCTTGTAGCTATGAAGACAAATACCTCTAAATCAGGCAAGTAAAACAGGCAGATAGCCTGCTTCTATCCTGACTCGCTATCCTCTTACTTTACTCCTATTCCTTCCAACTATATTTACTGTCTTACATAAGGTTTATATATAAACTTAAGAAGTTCTAACTTCACCTGTGCAAGTAATAAGGGAGAAAGGAAGAATAGTAACAATCATTAGATTGGATTATCCAAATACATAGCTCCTGTTTAGTCTTCCCAGACTTGCACTTAAACTACTCCCTACAGTACTTGCTCATTCTCTCAGCAGGTCCCCTTTTGCTCACATATAAAGGCAGACCAGCAAGTTGCTTCCTAATTTGGTCTGATTGTACGCCATCTGGCAGCAGAGGATGCAATCATTCATATAGCTTAGTCTCCCTCCCTGGCCCCCCAATACCTCTAAACCTTCCTGCTCCAGGTTAAGATTATACCTAATAAACTGACCTCTGCTTAGTTTTTTTTTCTTTTTTTTGCAGGCACAGTTAACCCAGAAGAGTCACTTCACTAGAAAGTTACACAAGGTAACCAAAGTAATCAAACCAAGCCACTAAAGCCAGGCCAAATTCTTAAGCACACATCAGGAAATGTTTATTCAAAGTAACTCATGTGCCACATTTCCCTACTTGCTCTAATTGATTTTATACTGGCTCCCTGGAAAAGTAGCATCAACCAGAGAGACAAGATGGTTTCTCATTCATTCTCAACACTTAACCTGGCTTATACCCGTAATTTGCATAACTTCCAGATTTAAGAGGAGCAGAGACCACTTTTTATTTCCAAAATAATGAAAAGATCAATCCCTAGTAATCTTGCATTCCTACCAGTCCACAAACCAGTCATCTCCGTCAAGCAGCAAGGTATCTCCAATCTCAGATAGATCAGGTTGTTTAGGAAAGTGCCAATACCTCCTTCACTGATCCACTAGAGCGCAAAAAATCCTGCTGCCATTTTTGCTATTACATAGCACCAGTCCCTCATGAACTTGAGGTATTCAGGGTAACCTTTTTCTTCACCTCCTTCATCCTAGACAACACAGCGTAGAAGCTTCACATAACACTCACAGCACTCAACCTCAGACTGCCTCCTTCCCTCGCTCTGGTCCATTTAATTTCACCTTACAAAGTGACTGTGCGTTTTCTCCCCATAGTTCTCTATTTTACGAAGCTCTCTTCAACGCAAGTGAAAAGAAACTGCGGTAACTTTCTCCTATTTACTCTTCTCACGCATAGGAAATGCGCGCAGTACAGAGAAGCCAAGTAAAAGCAAAGCTCTGCAGGACTTCAAAGAAAAGAGGTTAGGTCTAACACAGAAGAGAAAAAACAACAAGCAAGACCACAGCCAAGTAACAAATAAAGGCTTCCTTGGAGAATTTGAAAGTAACAGCAGCAGCCTGCCTGCTGAGGCTCTTGCTGAACCTTTGTTAATCTATCCACCATAGTATCATTTATTTAACAAATATTTATATATCCTTCTCCAATACTTCTCACCCCCCTCTCTATTGGACAGGGGGGAGTCTGCAACTGTATGGCTTGCTATTACTACTTTTTCCAAGGAAGCTTGACTCTCACCACCTTACCCCAGTGAAAAATCTGACTTTAGAAGTAAACAGACTCTTGGCACTTCTTTCCAGCATAGTTTGGCGCTCCCACAGTTTGCTCTTATCTTTTGAGTATTCCTTCTACCGAAAGCAAAAAAATATTTCAATACAGCCCGCTACCGCTTTCAAGCCAATCTGCAAGAGTCTGCACCACCAGCTTTCTCCACAGATATCAGGCATCACTCTGAATGCTGCAGTTTCCAGATTCTAACATCTGCCTGAAGTTCCAACAAAATCAGTATCAGAAGTAATTCTAAGCATTGCTCTCCAGTAATCAGGAGTACCTTTGCATTTGACATGCAAGTGGACATCAGGCAAGATAATGAAGGACTAAATATATTTCCAGTTTCAATAGGCACTTCATTAAAAAAAACCCAGCATATTAGATCAAAACACGTTTTGTCTTATAATGTGAAATGCTTTAGTACTATTAAGCAGTTGGTTTTTGAATGTAAAGGGTGAAAGTGCACGATTACTCAAAGAAAAAATTTCGCTGTTTATTTTGCAATGCTTGTACAACTCCCAACGTGTTATATTATGTATATGCATACAGTGGCAGGCTTTTACATGAGAAGCAGCATAGTAGCAGCTGGCACCGCTGCTTCTGTAATCAAATGCAGATTAGATATCACAGTATTTGCGATCTCCAGTTCTCTTGCATCTTACCAGGTCTGTAAAAGGTTTAGAGAAAAAACAGTTGGAAACACTTAAAAATCCAGCGACTTCTTTATAAGGATGTAAGGAGACATATTACATTCAGTAGAAACCACTCACTTTTGTCCATAATCTCAGCTGTAACATGATGACAGGAGAAAAGGAAGCAATTTTTAGTTAAAAAAGCTGAAGTCACATAGGCTGGAGAAGAGTTTCCTAACTATAAAGTGGTTTTGTCCCCAAATGTACAGCTCCCTAACTACTAAAGCCTTACAGAGATGTTGTAACATCCCTGATCTTTACAAAATAGCGGATACAGACTGTCTGCATAAATAAACGAACTCTCATTTCTGTAGCACAGTCGATCATAACACAGCCTCCAGCTGCAGCACACACCAGATAAAGAACAATTACACAAACTCTGTGATTCCAGCAAGCTTCTACTGTTAGGGTACCTTTTTTTTTTTAAAAAACAGAAAAAGGTTACCACACCTCTCCTAAAAAGAAATAAAAAAATTCAAACATCAGTATGTAAGTATGTACTTTAAGATAACTTCAAGGTGAGAAAAAGAGAAGGGAAGTCTGCTCCCTCTTCTCTTCCCACCTCATCTTTTTGCTGCTTAAAGACGTGAATACAGCAAAAATGTTTTGGAACATCATTCCTTTTTAATTCAAGAATGTTAGGAATAGTACTTCCTTCCCTCTTTTGCTAAAGGCCTAGAGTACTGGAAAGGGAGTTCGCACTACCCTAATCTGACACATCTGAGAACTGAAACTGTCAGGCAGCAGGTTTAAGATGAATGTTAAGCAAAAAAAGTTTTTCTATCCTTCAACTACTCCAGCTTTCAACTTTCATTTAGTTCTGCTGTTATCCATTTAATTCTCTTATCGCTCTTTCTGAAAAGAAGTTTGTCCATGTCAGTGTAAGCTTTAATTAAGGTTTCATCCAGGTTAGAGAAATTCTCATTTGAGTTGTTAACCCAGTGCACCTCAAAAGTAGATTAACAGCATCAACACACACCACTTTGATCTGGAGCGAGTTCAATTTAGAACAGCACAGTGTTTGGCTCTCACAGATTCACAAAAACATTACCTCCCTCAGGGTGCAGTTTCGCATTACACCCAATCTGATCTACCTGCGAGTTGGCTGATAAAAGGGACTGCTCTGCTCATTCTCTGCCTCCGGAGAGGCATTTCCTCCTCTACCCCCTGCAACAGATCTGGAGAGTCTGTAGCAGCAAGCAGTTTTCCCTCTTCTCCTTCTAAAGAGGCATTTTGCTTATTTGCACATTTCATTAGCAAATGATATCCTGAGATCACAGGATTCCTTGGCAACTTGATAAACAAGCATGGCAGAAAAGAGCATGTCATTAACTTAATGGCAACAAACACACAAACAAGCAAAGCAAAGGTCACATTCAACCGTGCAGCCCCCTTTTGAGGCACCTTGTATGGACTGTCGTTGAAGAGGGTCATGGACTGTATTTTCATGTTTCTTTCCGGTTGACTATTTTACTGCTATATTAACACAGTGTTTCACTTACAATTTCAGAGTTTCTTTGCATACACAAAAGAGAAGGTAGTAGAAGGGTATCTTTTGCTTCAGGTCTGGTATCATTTTACTTTCATCCATAATCTTCTTTAACAGTTTCATGGCAACTGTACTCAGTGTTTTCAGTTAATATTACAATTTTCAATTCTAATATGCAGGTTTTTATATGTAAGGTGGATTCTGTACATACTCCATAAATGCTAAGCTTGCAAGGTAATAAGATCCTATCTTTTCAAATTTGACGCTTACTGGCTAATACTGGTATACCAGCATAACTTGCAAAGTCTGTAAAAAAGCCCCAAAACAAATTCATAGCATAACGAGTTTGAACAGGGAGAGTCAGGAGAAACTCAGAGAAGGAAACAGTCCCTTTGAAAGGACTTCTCTGAGCATGTCTCAACAGAAACACAGCACAGATCTTCATGTACTACAGACTCATTGGTGAGATGGCATTAGTTTCAGCAGCTGATAAGCTAAATATTCTTCCATTGCAAGTTTAATAGAGGCAGTCATGTGCAGCATATAAGTAAACACAAGAAAGCAGCAACTTAAGAAATTTAAGCCAAACTTAATATCCAACAGTTTAGAACAAGTCTCAGAATCAAATGTCTTCCATCTAGACATGTTATTAAGCGGGACTCCCGCTCTCTTATGTGCGTAGTCAGCTACCATTAAATTAAGTGAGGTTGTCCCAAACTTGGGGTGCTTATTCAAAGCAGTATTCCGTTAAAATTACTTTCTCTTGACGTTACTAAAAGTGATCTGAACAGGGTTCCTCTTCCTCAAAGATCACGTCAATACTTCGAGCAACTAAGCAATTAACTTCCAAATAAATATTCTTGCATCTCTTACCGCAAAAATTCACAGCAATGTAACTGTACTGAAAAGTGAAGTTTGACACAGAAGTCTCATAGGCAAGTTTACTGTAAAAATAATGCAGAAATAAAAAGGCTCCAGATTAGACACTGTACACAAGGCTTCTCATAAAAGATAAACCCGGTTAACAGAACTCAAACTTGTACTGATGACAATGTACTGGAATTTAAGAATTTCTGAGGGTACAGGTGGAAGAATCGTACCAGAATGAGAGAGCTGTTAAGCTCCTAATTTTCTATATACTCATTATTTTGAACAATACCAAACAAAGACTTCTTAAAATAACAAGGTCAAGACTGAAGTATTCCTCCTCATCATAAAGCCCATATATAAGACAGAACACCACTAAAAAGGACAACCTACTGCTTTCAAGTGGAATACTTAGAAATTTGGCATATAGCATCCAACTTGAGAACAGAACACCTTCAGGTAATCGTCAAAGGTCTTAACTTGCTCTTCAGTAACAAAAGAGAAAGATTTAAAGTGATTAGCAGTTTATTGTGCAACTTGAGAAATATGGCTCTAATTTAATGTTTAGGATGCAAAGCCCATCCACCACAGCACAGCCAGAACAACATCAGCATTGGAGGTTTGTTTTCTTTAACCAAAGCCCAAGCTCATGGCAGTTTTCATTCTTGTGAGGAATGAGTCTGTCATATGAGAAGACTACAGCAACTGCTTAATGTCAGGTTTTTTTCAATTTGTTTACTTTGTATTTTGGACAACACTTTGATTAGCCAATTTCCTTATTTTTGACTGGTATAAGCACCACATAAAGCTCTTCAGTAAAGAGCAAAAAAGATCTTCACAGAGACTGACAAAGAGCTCACCCCTAGTATTTCAGAAGAAAACATGAGAGGAAGCTGATCGTTCAAAGCCATTACTCCCATTAGATGGCAGTTTTTAGAGTGCACCTGACTACATATTACCCAAATAGACTGCAATAATTATAGCTTTAGGTGAAGCATGAAAGGTTAACAGTTTCAAGGCTGGTACTCACTATGTAACATTTGGGGCAAGCAAAAACAGCGAAAAACTAAAATGGTTGGATTTGGTTCATTTGTAGCATGTCTTACTGGGAGGACTCATTGCAAGATATATATATAAAAAATAGTTCCTTCACTAAAACAGACTACTACGGCTCATCTAAAAGTACTAGCCAAGTGAGGAAACTAATATATGCAGGACAACAAACCAGCCACAAGCCAAGATCTTAGCCTCCCTTATCAGCAGCAAGCAAGTTACCATTATCTGATCAGCGTGCCTCATGAACTATGCCAACAGCTGTTCACCCCCTCACACACAGCCCCCAGCATCCTTACTGTCACAGCCACAAACCAGCAAGTGCACTGCCACAGGGAGGGGGGCTGGAGCCACAGGGACACCCTGCTACAGCTGGGCTCAGAGGCGTTACTGCTGCCCTTGCCAGGAAAACCAAAAATAAGAATAAGCAGGCATGATTCGTCCTTCAAAGCCTGCTCACAGCAAAGCACTTCAAGTAAAATCCCCCTCCTCACACCTTCTCCTAAAGGAGAAGGTTCCTGCGCCAGAAGGGACAAAGCTATGCAAGGGCGCCTGCCGACCTCCCCCCCAGCTGAGCCACCCAGCTTACGCCTCTGTAAAACCCCAAACCCTGAGCCGAGCCTCACAGCCCCAAAGGCAAACACCCCCTCCCCCAAAGCCCCATG